GTGATGTTGAAAACGTGACAAATTATAGACCTTATATCTCTTTGCTAAGTGTAGTGGAAAAAGTAGTGGAACGTTGTGTATTTGATAAGTTTTTCCCATTCATAGCCAGTCGTGTATACCATCTTCAACACGGATTTATGAAAGGCCGCTCTACGGTTACCCAACTACTTGAAATTGTTCACCTTTTAACAAAATCAATTGATGAAAAGGGACAAACGAATATTGCATTCCTTGATTTTTCAAAGGCTTTTGACTCTGTGTCTCATTTGTCAATGATGGATAAGCTATACGCGGCGGGCATCAGAGGCTCTTTGCTTAAATGGTTTGGAAGTTACCTGCATGACAGGAAGCAGCGAGTAGTACTTGACGGCAAATGTTCCGAATGGCTTGATGTCACCAGTGGGGTTCCACAAGGCTCTATTTTGGGGCCAGCTCTTTCTGTTCTGTTCATTAATGACATGCCTGATGTTATTTCAGAATCAGGAACGCTCGCATTGTTTGCTGATGATGCGAAGTGTCTACGTACAATCAATTCAGACGCCGATTGCGTGGCTTTACAAAGGGACTTGAATAATTTAACTACTTGGAGTGCAGAATGGAAATTACCATTTAACATTGACAAGTGTACCATCTCTACAGTAACAACGAAACGCAACCCTGTTTCTTTTATTTATGAAATAGCTAATTGCGTTATCAAGAGAGTAAACGAACAGAGAGATCTTGGAGTCCATATAACTAGTAATGCTACATTTAATGAACATATATATATATATATTCAGATAAATAAAGCGAACAAGATGCTGGGCTTTATTAGACGTACAGTTTTGAGGGAAAAGTGCTTATTACCTACAATGAAATTACTGTACTGCGCACTGGTAAGGAGTAACTTAGAGTATGCTTCTGAGGTTTGGAGCCCAAAATCAATCACATTAATTAAGAAAATCGAAAGGGTTCAACGCCGAGCAACACGGATCTTGTTGCCTGAATTGGAATATGTGGAACGTCTCCAACAGTTTGATGTTCCTCCTCTTTTACACCGTCGAGAGTTGAAGGATTTAACCACCTTTTACAGGATGAAACAAGGTTTATATAACTGTAATGTTGACTCCTACGTTGAATTCTGCTCAGACACAAGATTACGATCAACTGCCCAGGGGAAATTGAAAACCCCTAAATGCAGATCAGAACATTTTAGGGCAACTTATTTTAATAGAATAACGTATTTATGGAATAATCTACCTGAACAAATTCGAACTTTCAATGGTAGTGTGGCCATATTTAAGCGTTCTTGTAGAGAGTATTACAAAACTATACCGTATGATCCTGACCGACCTCGCGTTACTTGGGATCCATGAACTATCACACATTTGTAACATTATAGGGGCGGGGGGGTGTTTTGTACAGTTATTTACTTTTTTCGATCATTTTGATCGCTACTTTATTTTTGGTGGAATAGCTTAGCATGGTTCTATTGTTCCTTTCTATTTCTTCCTTCTGCATGTAGTTTATTCAGTTATTATTTTTGTATGCAGTAAAACTTGATTAAATTAAATTAAATTAACCTTGCGAAATATTGTATTACCTGGTAAAAGAACTTGCATGGATTCATTGTTGGTCATGATACGTTAGTGATAACAGAATTTAATGTATACGTTCAATTCAGTTGTTTCCCTTCGATATCACTCAATTTTGCAATGGTATTAAACGTTTTTAAATGTCGGTACAAACTATAAACTTTCCATACATCTCTTTTGAAATTTCTCAATTAAATGACGAGAAGAAATTAAATATTCAAACAATTCAAAAATACACTTAAACAGTGATATGTTGCCAATAATGCCAGAAAGTAACCAGTTCGGTGTAATATTACCTTGAAAAGTATATATCACAATTACCTTACTTGTTTTATGAGAGATATTATGTTTGATATTATACTCTACCAGTTCTTTTCGCTTCAGTTCGCAATTGTGGATCATAGGATCGACAAGGTGTGAAGAAATAAATCAACTGGCTATGACATGTTGATAATATTCGCCAATTGGCAAAGCTTAATTGGTTGGTGAAGAGTAGGTGCATGTCTTACCATCGTTTCTGTATGGGCGCTGGTACGCTACACTTACGTTTTGCTTTACGTTTAGCTTTTCTTGAGAATGTTCGCTTATACCAATAATTTAGGTTTGTACGTTGTTTGTTATTTTTTCTGATTTGTCTTCATCGTGACTTCGTCAAACGGCATATCTCAGGCAAGTCCATGTATTATTCTGGCGACTCTTATATGCATTCTTTCTAGTGTCTTCATCTGAGTGGTATTGCAGCTTCCTCCACATGACTATTCCGTAGGTGACTACAGGGAATATTACTTTCCAACAGAAATCCTTTAGCTTCTTCTCCAGGAGAAACCTCATCGACTTTAAAATATTTAACTAACTAGAAAAACTCTGGGCTAGCTGAAAAGTTTTCCTCAGCTTGCCCGGTGTGGATGCACACTAAGAGTAACATCACAACATCATATTCACCTAAGTACATAACACCAACACACACACACACACACACACACAAAAATAGTAAAACTCTGTTTGAGTTCATCATCAATTTGTTTTGTCCACTTAAAGATTTTCAATGGTTAGGTATTCTTGAGCTTTTGCCCACGTAGGCGTGGAACGACTGAGTTGTTTCTTTTAATTACAGTAGCATCGCCTCTGTTTGTCTGGGTGTGTTATTCTGTTCCTAGAACGCAGCTTACATGATTTCCAACGGAAGTTAAAGTTGTATAGTTTACGTACATTTCAATATCCTCATTATTCCGGTGCAATTTGGCAGTCTGTCACAGAAGAGAGTGAAGATTAATGGCCCAAGTAGAGATTAGCAATTTACAGACTGTGCAACGTACGGACTTGCATTTTACTTGTTCTCTTGGTGAACTTTTCTTGCCGATATACTGGTGTACTGAGTTATGTCGCTAAGATAATTTTTGATCCACATAGTTTCTTGGGTTTTTTTCCCATCAGCTGTGGTTTAAAAAATATCAACTGGTGGTGAATGGAATCAAAAACCTTTTTGAAATCTATGAAAATAACTTTCACAACTTTCTTTTGAGGGATTCTGTTTTGAGTGATTTTTCTCGTATGCCTATGATGAAGGTTTGTCAAACCTGAACGATTTTCGGTATACTGCATGCAGGGCCGTAGCGACCGGGTGGGTGTAACACCCCCCTATAATTGCTCATGGGCAATTTTCAGTAGATTTTCAGGTAAATTCAGGGCATAATAAAGTGAACTATGTGCTCTGAATCAGAATTTGAGTTAATAATCGACCAACTAAACACGTCGAAACGCGTCGTGGCGGGATAGGTATTTTTCGAGTGAAGTCCTTTTCGAGGTAAGCCTCTGCCACGCCCTTTTTCGCCGGGGGCTTAACTCGATGAATATGAGGTTGTTTTGGTACTTCGAGTTAAACCCCCGGGACTTAACCTAAAGTCAATTAACGATTGAAGCATTCGAGTTAAGCCATGACATTTGGTGGATGTATACTCGCAAAAATACTGGCCAATAAGGAGGGAGATTGTAAAATTTCAGAAATTGTAAGAAATATATTTTACTCTGACCTCTGTTGCTTTGCCTACAATAAGGATTTCTAAACAACAGCTCATTCAGTGGGACAATTACGGCGTTAGAAAATAAATAATATATAGCGGCACTTACATAACGCAAATCGTAGGCATTACGTTTCTAACCGACTTACTCAGCAACGACAAGATCTATAGGACTCTCTAATATTACGTAAACTCGTTTTGTAGTTTCAACTTGTCAAGAACCCGTCAGAGAGAGAACAGACAGGAACGACAGTAATACCGTTATATTATAAATGGATAACAGATACAAATGTTTCCCCTAATTACCAATGGCAACAAATAACAATCAACAACGGTACTATTTATATACTATTTGGATATTCTCAGAATGATGAAGATTGAAGTTCAAGCTAGAAAAACCATTTTCTAACAAAACAATTCACTATTATGTCACGCTCTAGTATTCAAGTCCCCTACTTTGGAGAAGAGATATATCTTTAGGGTAGCCTCACATATTGATTTTGTCCACGAGAAACGTCATGGACGTTTCTCTGGAGACCCTCTACCCCTTAGAAACGTCACACATACTGTAGTTATGCTTAAATGGTTAATTAATTGACTTAGAGTTAAGCCCCGGGGCTTAACTCTAAGTATTGAAACAACCTTCTGTTCATGGAGCCCCAGACGAAAAAGGGCGTGGCAGGGACTTAACTCGAAAAGGGATTAACTGGAAGGGCTTAATTCGCAAGGGGGGACATGGCCAAATACCCTTTCTGACGATCTGGAGACTCCATATTTCCAAAATTTTCTCAATTTTCCTAGTCACATACTCTCATTGAACTGTAAGTAACAATACTTATTTTTTATCAGTGAAGATGAAGCAATCTGAATGGCTGAGGAGCCTTTCAGAGCGGGCCGGTTTTTTGCATCCGGCCCGCTCTAAAACGCACCTGCCCGCTGTGAAATGCAACTGCCCGCTCTGGTTTTCGCGGCAAAAACTGAGGAGTGAAACAATTTTTAAACGATAAAATCTGCCCAAAACGTTTGAAAAACATAGCCTAACGATAGTCAGAATACGAAAATGAATTGCATCAAGCCCTAAAGGCTTCATACTAAGCACGATGTTCACGAGAATTGACACTATTTTGATAGAAATGCGACTGAAAGTCGGAGAGTATTTGACATGTATAAAACTTACGTCGAGAAAACTATATATTTTTTAAATGCTCATGTATTCGGCCACTTAATAAAAGCGAAAAAATTACAGCTTAAATAGATATTGTAAAATAAATGTTTTCCCATTTATAAAAGAAGGTTTAACTGCAACAGTGAAAACAAGTCACGAATATATGCTCTACGCATTTGTGTCATGTATTTTTCACTGATATAAATATTGTATAAAACAAAGTAAAAGTTTGTGTTGAAAAACACTTTTTTCAAGCATATTATCGTGAAACGACAAGAAAAAATACAAAAATATAAAAATAGCATACCTTTTTCATTGTCCTTTTAGTAGAAAAAGTTAATTAAATCAAAACAGATTCATTTTTATATGTTTTTGATGGGATCTGAACATGAACCTGTCGTTGTCAGGACAACTTGTCAAAGCCAAAACGCCAGGCGTAAAAGTTTTTATTCCAAAGCTTCTCTTTAAGTTCTCTGCTACCATATTCATGAAAAAAGCATGTACATTTTTACTGAAACTATACGTCTTTTTGTGTGTTTCTTGCCAGTTTTCTCGATTTTTCGTATTCGTGTTTTATATCTTTTATTAAACTTTTCAATTTTTGTCAGCCTCGCTTTGAAAATACACAACTGCACTGATCTCAAATTAGTTCGCAAGCAACACTGGAATTTTAATCAATTTAATTTTTACATCTGATAAAAAATAAACACGTTATTTACCGGCAGCGTCGGTCCGGATGAGAAAAACTGTGCCCTCGGTCTTGAAAACGTCCCTCGCCCTTCGGGATCGGGCCGTTTTCAAGACCTGGGGCACAGTTTTTCTCATGCGGACCTCGCAGCCGGTAAATAACATATATTTATCTTCATTGTTAGGCAATACTAAAACATTGAAACATTGGGTAGGAAATATTCTAAAAATGCCATTTCCAACAGTCTTTGCTCGGCACCAACCATGGTGGCGCCTCGCAGGCATAGCAAAATCAGGTAAAAACGTTAAGTTGAAGAAATTCAGTTAAATCTAACCTTACTGGCACCCCCGAGAGGTAACGTCCTAGCAACGGCCCTAACTGCATGTTCGCTTATTGTCCGCGAAACCTGTTTCCCATGAGTTTGCTCCTATTTGGCTCACCTTTCTTCTTGTTCAACGCCCTGTCACACTATTTGTCTATCGTACTAGCGTATGGCAGCGTATGAAAAAGATCACCCATACGCTGGTATACGCTAGGGTACGTTAGGCATAGGTTGTATACATTTCAAGCAGGCACGGATTTTCTGGGGGTGCGGGGGGGGTGCGCACCCCCCCAGAAATTTTTTGCACACCCCCCCCCCCAGAGGCATTTGGCACCGCCCCAAAAAGTTTTTGCGCCCCCGCAAATTATATATATATATATTGCCAACGCCATTCTCGCCCGAAAAAAGCTTGCCATACTTTTACTTAAGACGAATTGTAAAAATATAACCTTACAATACAATTATTGTAACCAGGGATCCAAGAATAGTTCAAATTTTCAAGTATATAGCTTAAAAACTACTGCAATGAAGACGAAATATAATATGACAACTTTTGCCCTAATACCAAGCACTTTGGTCTATAAATAGGAAATTGCTTAAGTTGCTAAGTTTGTTTACATGTCACAAGTCAATTTTTGTCAAAATATGAAGCCCTATAATGGGCTATATCGTTCGAAATCTTGCCCGTAAACAACTATGTCTGAGTTCGTAAAACTTGATAAAACATAACTAGAAACAAAAAATAATTATCATATACACAATAGTTCATAACACTTTATATGCTGTGTTCAACTACAATCTATTTTAAAACAACTATTTTGACTGCGTGCCTATAGTACTGTGATATATTTTGTTGTATAAAATTGTTTTGATTATAGTGCATGATTATAGTGTATTACTGCAAATATTTTCAGCTTCGAAAAGTACTATATTCTATAAATTAATTCATCTGTTGTGCGCTATAGTCTGATGGATTTAGACTATTTTCAGCGCTGTCGAATTCAGCTCTGTCGAATTCAGCTTTGTCGAGGCTATTTATATAGTATATTCAGCTTTGTCGAGGCTATTTATATACTGTAGTATATGAGTTCCAAATCCTGCCCTTTAAGCCTGGAAACCCCACTTTCAGAAAGTTTCCAATGTAGGCACTGTATTTTGTAAACTTTCCAAAATTAGGCAGGACGTAAAGCACAAACTAGGCTTTGAAACATGGCAGTGAAAGGTTGCAGTAAACTGTTAAATATGCATTGAAATCTATCATAATAATTTATATATTTTAGAATTTTTAAATAATTTATAAGCAGCTTACGCATTGCCTTCACAACCGCATATATGTCTTATATTCGGATGATCTAAAAGGCTAGATAGTCAGATCATGTTTCATTGTAATCTTATTACGATTGTCAACGCATTGGCTTATGATAAAACGTCACAGACGATAATATAATTCCACATGAATTTATTGCGCAAACCCTACAACTGCAGATTATGTCAAGTGGTTTCAATGTTTCAAGTTTGGTTTACACTCTCCAGAGGCTTTTTGTATTAAAATGTACAGTTATTTAATAAATAATAAGTAGTTCACGCGCTTTATTTCGCAATAAAAAAATGAAAAATTAGGCAATCAAAACAAATATTAGGCTACCCCAGGCACAAGAGAAATGCCATTTGGAGCCCACTACTATATCTAAATGTATTAGACCATAAGTTGCAAAATCTGAGCTCGCGAGCTTACTTAACTAGAATTTATTGATGCAAAGAGAAAAGAAAAGGTAAGCGACATTGGGAACCTTCTTCACAAAACGTAACAAAAATGAACCTTCCAGCACCCAGGTAACTAAAATTAAAAATACGTGATTTTGCTTTCGGTAAGCGTCCTAAAAATTTGATATCGTCTATAATTCATTCCGCATTTGCACTCAGGTAACAGACGAATTAGGCTCCATATCATCCAAAGTAATTGATGTATGTGAAGAAAGCGGAGAGTCTTCAATTACCGACCATGAGGTAGTCGAACCAGAAAACCGTGGAGATTGTATCCATGTCTCTCAAATTGTTGCTAGTGCCAGTGATTTCGAAGACTCGAATCAACAAAGAACGTCTTGAACAGGGAATCAGAAAACCATACGATTGAGGATATAATTGTTTCAAGTGGCAGAAATAAAAAGTCTGTAGAGCCTAAAACATCCTGCCAATTCCATAGCAAGCCAAAAGATACGCTTCTAGGACCAAGGCAGCCTAAGCTCTTGAAGTTCCCGGTACGTGATCCCAAGTCAAGAAAAACTAAGAGCTTCAACGTATCATGGTACCGACATTTCCCTTGGCTCGAGTACGATGTTGAAAAAGACGCCGCTTTTTGTTATTGTTGTAGTAAATTTTCGGCAAACACGAGTGGCTCGTCTGCTGCTTTGTCGTTCACTCAGACAGGATATACTAACTGGGCAAATGCCCTTGACAGCAGTAAAGGGTTCCAACAGCATGAAAGATCTGAGCTTCATAGAAACAGTCATGCCAGGTGGACGGAGTTCAAAAAGATTCAAGAAGGAAAAGAAAAGGACATAATTCAGCGGATATGTCCTGAAAGGGAAGAAGTACCCCGCGACAACAGAGAGTATCTCAGTTACCTATTCAAATATATCCTCTGGTTTGCAACTAACGAAATTCCAATGAGGGCTGATGATGAGACAGATGAATCCAAAAACCCGGGTAAATGGATTACCTACATCAGACTCCAGCTGGAAACCAATCCCTCGTTCAAACAGCTCCATGAAAAGTTCACCAGGACAAGAAGCATGGACTATACCAGTAAAACCAGTGTGAACGACATCATCGAAGTAATTGCTGAAAATATTCGTCTGGTCATTTTTTCTCAGATCAAAGATGCCGGCATGTTTTCAGCACTCATTAATGAAAGTAAAGACGCAGCGAAACGAGAAGAGTTGGCTTTGGCTGTAAGATATTCAGCAGGAAATGTTGTGGAGAGATTTGTGTACCTTCGGAAGCTAGATCAGTTTGATGCCCACACAATCAAAGAATGTGTAAATGAACTGATTAATAACATCATCCAAACCTCAGAGGGTTCAGTGGTAGTATGTCTAAGAGCCGATGGTGCAAGTGTTATGTCTGGTGAAATTGCTGGGGTTGCAGAGCTGTTGCGTTCAGAGTACTTTCACTGGTTAATCTACATACACTGCACTGCTCACCGTGTTAATCTTTTAGTAAATGATCTAATCAAAGAATCCAATGTTGCGCTTGACATCATGTCTACAATCAACTCCCTCTATTCATTTCTCAATCATCCAAAAGTCCGAGAAGTCTATCATAGTGTATACAGCGAACTTTACCCTCAGTCACAAATTAAACACCTTGCCCAGCAGATCGACATACGTTGGGGCTGCAAGTTTGAGGCAGTTGAGCTGATAACAGACAAACCTCATGTTATTTTGGAAACTCTGATCAGAATTACTCAAAACCCGAGAATGCATGACCCAAAACATGTCGAGCAAGCGAGTGGGTTTTACCATAAGTTGACAACCGCCAAGCATATTATTGCGTTGGTCACACTTCATGCGTACCTTGCTGATATGTTCTTCCTGTCCAAAGAGCTACAGAGTCAGAGCATCAACTGGACAGATGTTCAGTATGAGATTGAAAGGACCCGCAAATCGATATCCGAAATAGATGATGACCAGATACGAGTGATGGTAAACGAGTATTGCGATAAGACTGGCATACCCCTTGAACTCACGCTCACCATGCCAATACACCAAACAAGATCAACGTCATCAACCAGTGCTGCAAATTCAATAAATGACACCATCTCCGATCTCAACTCTTACATGCAAAGCAAGATCGAAGAAGAGTTCCGAATCCGGTTCGACAGCAAGAACATCGAAATAATGAAAGCGTTCGAAGCTTTGGATGCATCCAAACCGTGCTACTTGGATATCGAGACTCTGGGTTATCTTGTCGAGCATTTTGACTGCTCGAACATTAACAGATCCATACTCAAATTGGAATTGTTGAGGGCCAGAGAAGATTTACGACTGGGGCTGCCGATTAGTGAAAAGAGATGCACTAACCTAATGAAGCTGATCAACTTGAAGACTACTATTGCAACGAGCACGGCAACTGTGGAGCGTTGTTTTTCTGCAATGAACAGAGTCTGTTCCAAGTTGCGATCAAGACTGACACCAAGCAGACTTGGGGACCTTCTTTGCATAACTCTAAACAAAGATCTGGTACCGCAACTCGACATTGGTGTACTCATTAATTCGTGGGCTTCAAAAGGAGACAGAAGGGTGAATGTGTAACAGTTACAGTATGTTATGACAGGCAGTGACCTTTGCGTGATCTTGACTGTTCTATTCTGCATATATATTTATATGACTGTATATAGTAATTATAGTAATTGTTATTAAGTCATTTAAGTTATGTTTACATTTGAACTTCGTCTTTGGGTCGTTTTTTTGAGTTCATCAGTTCATCTTTGTACTGTTGTCTGTTAGGCGTAGTTTCTAAGATGTTTTGCAACATTTGTTGTAAATAATGCAAGCCCCAAAAATGAGAAAATAATACACTCTATGGATTAAATTAAATTAGATCCACAGTTGTGACAATTTTGATTTGATATTTTCATATGATTATTCTTACTACTAAATTAGTAAAATTGCTAATATTATGAGCTCAGATGCCGCCATGCAGCCCTATAAAAGACAGGTTTTGATAAACATTTTCTTTGGCCTTTCTGGGTGTTGCCACCAGGACCCGGCCAAGGCAAGCAGCAGCA